TGACGTTTGTGAATGGGTGGTGTGAGAGTTCCCTTAAACCTAATATTGAGGGTGTGCACGTCCGTCCTGTACCGTATCTTCCGGCGAAGGTAGGGATTAAGTTTTAAAAATTCGTATAAAATGCAGTTCTTGGAATATGAATATGAAAATTTCCCAAAGTGTTAATAAGAGTGTCCTCTTTCCAATCAACCAACACGTTTTGAAAAATCACTTTTAGTTCTAGAGAAATAATTGCAATTTTCATCAATAACTTTTAAAATTCGCCATAAAATTTATTTCTTGAAAGATCATGGAAATATCGCCAATTATTAATTAAAGTATCCTCTTTTTAGAGTTGCCACGTTAGTTAAATCACCATCAAAAAAATTCATTTTGTATCTTGGATCCAAATAAGTTGACATATCTTATCAGGTTTCTTATTAATTTCATTTTTATTCAAATATTGCAATAATGTGGCAATATATACCCTATATTGCCACATTATTGCTTATGTCTAAGACACAACGTTTTCGGTAAAACTCCGTTGTTACCTACCGACATAAAGGTTCAAGACCTCAGGACAATACTAAGGTTCATCAAGGACCTACATTTGCCCTAAACCTTTGGAGGGCTAAAGTTACAATAAGATAATAATAATAATAATGATAATAATCGCTTCAACAACACACCAGAAATTATAACCATAATGGCCGGATAGATCTATATCCAAATAGGATAGTTCCATCACTACTTGAAGGTGTGAAAATTAAAAAAAAAAAACAACACGCGGAAACGAATGATTCAAAAAAGGCAATCCTTAGTAGGATTTTCTTTTCCGTAGAAATTTAAGCACGTACGATGTCGAGTACGCTTGGACTTTTTCCCGTATGGAACGATTAGCGATTTTTAGCGGTCATTTTCTCCGCAACAACATCTCTAATTGCCCCCGCAAAAAGGTCGATGTCACTCGCTTTCAATCGCGAATCAGAGCTTTCTTTTAATTCTGTCATTATTTTAAACCCAATTAAAAAAAAAATCTATTTTGAAATAATTAAATAAAGTTAATCTAACACAAATATCGTTATTTCTTCGTATCCATAACGAGTCAGTGAAAGTTATGACACTAACTTATGGTCAGCGATGACGCCCACCTTATTAACAACCGAATTCACTTTTCACTACAGTTCCATATGTACGATATCTTTAAGGAAAATCCGAAATGGGTGTGTTTCGTTAGAATTTCAGTACGCAATCCTAAGTGAGATTTGTACGAAATGCATTTACTCTTTGTTGAGGTGAAAGAAAGTTAATTTACGATGATGGTATAATACACACCGCGCCTTGAACTTTATTTTGCAACCTGACCACGACTGATTCGCTCTTGTAATCGGTTTGGTGATTGAAGTTCAAGTTAAAGAACCTTATTTGGAGATTTTAGTACTCCTCGTTCTTGCGTTTTATGGAGTTACAGGAAATTTCTAATTGATTCCTATTGAAAAGGAAAGTTTTTAGTGTCATCTGTTTTTTTTTATTTAATTTTTATCTTCTTGTATTATTAATGTGGATTGTAAATCTTAAAAAATTCAAATTCAAGTCGAATGTTGTTGATTGTTAAGATGGACGAACTTTTGGTTTCTCTTTCTGTCGGTGAACCGAAGAATCGTGGCCCCCGTAGCCTTGTGCCTTGGCCTTGCAACGCACGACGAAAAGTTCGGAGGGTGACAGCTCGAGGGAGAAAGCTGAAGGCCCCACTTTCATCCTCTAACCCGAGACTATTTATTGAATGGAACTTGGGTTCCTCCGACACGAGTTGAACGGTTTCGTCTTGGTGAAGAACGAGGAAACTCGTTCTAGTGGTTCCCGAAAAATATGAAGGTCCACCGGAACTTAGTGGTTAGTGTTTTATTTTTTTTTTTAGTTTTCTTAAATTTATAATTTAAATTTTTTTTAATTCATTCTTAACCTAACAATTATCGTTCGATTAAGACATCTTGAATGGGATTGTAAATATAGACAAATAAACATAGTCATTGTAATAAATTTTAAACTTTCTTCACTTTCTTAGTTTAAAGAGATCTAACAAGACCATTTAGGATTTCTATTTACTTTTTTTCATTAACCCGTTAACACAGAAACCAAACAAGGAATCTGTTTTGAAAAATATCTTCGAATTTTTAACGATTCATTTAAAAAAGAATTTGGTTGCAATTTGTATCGATTAACTTTAAAGTTATGTAAGAAATCAAATCCATGGAAAATTTTTATGGAACTGTCACCAATTATCAATAAAAGTATTCTCTTTTCAATAAACTCATCGAACTTGAAAAATAATTTTTAGTTTCTGAGCAACAAAATTTTAAAATTGATCACATTTTTTATCATTTTTATGTATTTTGATTAATATTAAAAAAATTCTAAGTGATTAGTTGCTTGGAAAATTGCTATGAAATTTCCATAAATTATTAAGAAATGTGTCTACTTTTCATTAAAGATAACCATTTTGAAAAATAATTCTTAGTTTTGGAGATATAAATGTTTGAAGTTGACACATTTTTGAGTTTTCCACTATTTTTCGATGATCTTTTAAATACTGTGAAAAATCGATTTCTTGAAAAATGAATACGAAATTTCGTGACAGTGTTAAGAAAAATGTCTACTTTTTACTGAATCTACCCGATTTGAAAAATAACTTTTCATTCTTGAGCTACACGCTTTTGAAGTTGGTCGAATTTTGTTGCAATTTAAAAACTTTCAATTTTTATCGATTAACTTTGAACCTGTGTCAGAAATCAAATCCTTGGAAAATTTTTGTAGAACTATCATCAAATATCAATAAAAGTATGTACTTTTCAATTACCACGTCGAATTTGAAAAATAAGTTTTAGTTTCTTTGTAACGCTATTTTAAAGTTGATCACAATTTTTTTGATTTTTATGTATTTCGATTAATTTAAAAAATTCTAAGTGATTAGTTGCTTGGAAAATTGTTATGAAATTTCCATAAATTGTTAAAAAATGTGTCTACTTTTCATTAAAGATAGCCGTTTTGAAAAATAATTCTTAGTTTCGGAGATATAAATGTTTGAAGTTGACAATAATTTTTGAGTTTTTCACTATTTTTCGATGATCTTTTAAATACTGTGAAAAATCGATTTCTTAAAAAATGAATACGAAATTTCGTGAAAGTGTTAAGAAAAATGTCTACTTTTTAATGAATCTATCCGATTTGAAAAATAACTTTTCATTCTTGAGCTACACGTTTTTGAAGTTGGTCGAATTTTGTTGCAATTTAAAAACTTTCAATTTTTATCGATTAACTTTGAACCTGTGTGAGAAATCAAATCCTTGGAAAATTTTTGTAGAACTATCATCAAATATCAATAAAACTATGTACTTTTCAATTAACACGTCGAATTTGAAAAATAAGTTTTAGGTTCTATGTAACTATTTTAAAGGTGATCACAATTTTTATACATTTCGATTAATTTAAAAAAATTCTAAGAAATCATTTGCTTGGAAAATTGTTATGGAGTTTCCATAAATTATTAAAAAATGTGTCTACTTTTCATTACAGATAGCCGTTTTGAAAAACAATTCTTAGTTTCGGAGATATAAATGTTTAAAGTTGACAATAATTTTTGAGTTTTTCACTATTTTTCGATGATCTTTTAAATACAGTGAAAAATCGATTTCTTGGAAAATGAATACGAAATTTCGTAAAAGTGTTAAGAAAGATGTCTACTTTCTAATAAATGTAACCGATTTGAAAAATACCTCTTAGTTTCGGAGATATAAATGTTTGAAGTTGACAACAATTCTTGAGTTTTTCAGTATTTTTCGATTAATTTTAAAACGTTGTGAAAAATTAATTTCTTAGAAAATTAAAATGAAATTTNGTATCACTTCAATAATGAACCAGAAATTATAACCATAATGGCCGGATAGATCTATATCCAAATAGGATAGTTCCATCACTACTTGAAGGTGTGAAAATTAAAAAAAAAAAACAACACGCGGAAACGAATGATTCAAAAAAGGCAATCCTTAGTAAGATTTTCTTTTCCGTAGAAATTTAAGCACGTACGATGTCGAGTACGCTTGGACTTTTTCCCGTATGGAACGATTAGCGATTTTTAGCGGTCATTTTCTCCGCAACAACATCTCTAATTGCCCCCGCAAAAAGGTCGATGTCACTCGCTTTCAATCGCGAATCAGAGCTTTCTTTTAATTCTGTCATTATTTTAAACCCAATTAAAAAAAAAATCTATTTTGAAATAATTAAATAAAGTTAATCTAACACAAATATCGTTATTTCTTCGTATCCATAACGAGTCAGTGAAAGTTATGACACTAACTTATGGTCAGCGATGACGCCCACCTTATTAACAACCGAATTCACTTTTCACTACAGTTCCATATGTACGATATCTTTAAGGAAAACCCGAAATGGGTGTGTTTCGTTAGAATTTCAGTACGCAATCCTAAGTGAGATTTGTACGAAACGCATTTACTCTTTGTTGAGGTGAAAGAAAGTTAATTTACGATGATGGTATAATACACACCGCGCCTTGAACTTTATTTTGCAACCTGACCACGACTGATTCGCTCTTGTAATCGGTTTGGTGATTGAAGTTCAAGTTAAAGAACCTTATTTGGAGATTTTAGTACTCCTCGTTCTTGCGTTTTATGGAATTACAGGAAATTTCTAATTGATTCCTATTGAAAAGGAAAGTTTTTAGTGTCATCTGTTTTTTTTTATTTAATTTTTATCTTCTTGTATTATTAATGTGGATTGTAAATCTTAAAAAATTCAAATTCAAGTCGAATGTTGTTGATTGTTAAGATGGACGAACTTTTGGTTTCTCTTTCTGTCGGTGAACCGAAGAATCGTGGCCCCCGTAGCCTTGTGCCTTGGCCTTGCAACGCACGACGAAAAGTTCGGAGGGTGACAGCTCGAGGGAGAAAGCTGAAGGCCCCACTTTCATCCTCTAACCCGAGACTATTTATTGAATGGAACTTGGGTTCCTCCGACACGAGTTGAACGGTTTCGTCTTGGTGAAGAACGAGGAAACTCGTTCTAGTGGTTCCCGAAAAATATGAAGGTCCACCGGAACTTAGTGGTTAGTGTTTTATTTTTTTTTTTAGTTTTCTTAAATTTATAATTTAAATTTTTTTTAATTCATTCTTAACCTAACAATTATCGTTCGATTAAGACATCTTGAATGGGATTGTAAATATAGACAAATAAACATAGTCATTGTAATAAATTTTAAACTTTCTTCACTTTCTTAGTTTAAAGAGATCTAACAAGACCATTTAGGATTTCTATTTACTTTTTTTCATTAACCCGTTAACACAGAAACCAAACAAGGAATCTGTTTTGAAAAATATCTTCGAATTTTTAACGATTCATTTAAAAAAGAATTTGGTTGCAATTTGTATCGATTAACTTTAAAGTTATGTAAGAAATCAAATCCATGGAAAATTTTTATGGAACTGTCACCAATTATCAATAAAAGTATTCTCTTTTCAATAAACTCATCGAACTTGAAAAATAATTTTTAGTTTCTGAGCAACAAAATTTTAAAATTGATCACATTTTTTATCATTTTTATGTATTTTGATTAATATTAAAAAAATTCTAAGTGATTAGTTGCTTGGAAAATTGCTATGAAATTTCCATAAATTATTAAGAAATGTGTCTACTTTTCATTAAAGATAACCATTTTGAAAAATAATTCTTAGTTTTGGAGATATAAATGTTTGAAGTTGACACATTTTTGAGTTTTCCACTATTTTTCGATGATCTTTTAAATACTGTGAAAAATCGATTTCTTGAAAAATGAATACGAAATTTCGTGACAGTGTTAAGAAAAATGTCTACTTTTTACTGAATCTACCCGATTTGAAAAATAACTTTTCATTCTTGAGCTACACGCTTTTGAAGTTGGTCGAATTTTGTTGCAATTTAAAAACTTTCAATTTTTATCGATTAACTTTGAACCTGTGTCAGAAATCAAATCCTTGGAAAATTTTTGTAGAACTATCATCAAATATCAATAAAAGTATGTACTTTTCAATTACCACGTCGAATTTGAAAAATAAGTTTTAGTTTCTTTGTAACGCTATTTTAAAGTTGATCACAATTTTTTTGATTTTTATGTATTTCGATTAATTTAAAAAATTCTAAGTGATTAGTTGCTTGGAAAATTGTTATGAAATTTCCATAAATTGTTAAAAAATGTGTCTACTTTTCATTAAAGATAGCCGTTTTGAAAAATAATTCTTAGTTTCGGAGATATAAATGTTTGAAGTTGACAATAATTTTTGAGTTTTTCACTATTTTTCGATGATCTTTTAAATACTGTGAAAAATCGATTTCTTAAAAAATGAATACGAAATTTCGTGAAAGTGTTAAGAAAAATGTCTACTTTTTAATGAATCTATCCGATTTGAAAAATAACTTTTCATTCTTGAGCTACACGTTTTTGAAGTTGGTCGAATTTTGTTGCAATTTAAAAACTTTCAATTTTTATCGATTAACTTTGAAGCTGTGTGAGAAGTCAAATCCTTGGAAAATTTTTGTAGAACTATCATCAAATATCAATAAAACTATGTACTTTTCAATTAACACGTCGAATTTGAAAAATAAGTTTTAGTTTCTGTGTAACACTATTTTAAAGGTGATCACAATTTTTATACATTTCGATTAATTTAAAAAAATTCTAAGAAATCATTTGCTTGGAAAATTGTTATGGAGTTTCCATAAATTATTAAAAAATGTGTCTACTTTTCATTAAAGAAAACCGTTTTGAAAAATACCTCTTAGTTTCGGAGATATAAATGTTTGAAGTTGACAATAATTTTTGAGTTTTTTTACTATTTTCTGATGATCTTTTAAATATTGTAAAAAATCGATTTTTTTGGGAAATTATTAAGAAATTTCGTAAAAGTGTTAGGAAAGATGTCTACTTTCTAATAAATGTAACCGATTTGAAAAATAAGTTTTCATTCTTGAGCTACACATTTTTGAAGTTGGTCGAATTTTGTTGCAATTTTAAAAACTTTCAATTTTTATCGATTAACTTTGAAGCTTTGTGAGAAATTAAATGCTTGGAAAATTTTTGTAGAACTATTGTCAAATATCAATAAAAGTATGTGCTTTTCAATTAACACGTCGAATTTGAAAAATAAGTTTTAGTTTCTGAATAACAAAGGTTTGAAGTTGATCACAATTTGTATGTATTTTTTGTGTTTGGATTAATTTTTAAAAAATTCTAAATAATTAGGTTCTTGGAAAATTTGTTATGATGGTGACATAAATTATAAAAAAATTTATCTATTTTTTAATAAAAATATCAATTTTGAAAAATAACAGCTAGTTTCGGAGATATGAATGTTTGAAGTTGACAACAATTCTTGAGTTTTTCAGTATTTTTCGATTAATTTTAAAACGTTGTGAAAAATTAATTTCTTAGAAAATTAAAATGAAATTTCGTAAAAGTGTTAAAGATATCTACTTTTCAATAAAATTATCCGATTTAAAAAATAACTTTTAGTTTTTGAGTTACAAATTTTTGAAGTTGGTGGAATTTTGTTGCAATTTTAAAAACTTTCAATTTTAGTCGATTCATTTTAAAGCTGTGTGAAAAATCAAATCTTTAGAAAATTTTTGTGAAACTATCAGCAATAATTATCAATAAAAGTATGAACTTTTCAATAAACACATCGACCTTGAAAAACGAGGTTTAGTTTCTGAGCAACAAAGGTTTGAAGTTGATCACAATTTTTATATATTTTTTGTTTGGATTAATTTTAAAAAAATTCTAAATAATTAAGTTCTTGGAAAATTGGTTATGACGGTGACATAAATTATAAAAAAATGTGTCTATTTTTTAATAATAATATCAATTTTGAAAAATAACAGCTAGTTTCGGAGATATGAATGTTTGAAGTTGACAACAATTTTTGAGTTTTTCAATATTTTTCGATTACCTTTAAAATGTTGTGAAAAATTAGTTTCTTGGAAAATTAAAATGAAATTTCGTAAAGGTGTTAACAAAGATATCTACTTTTCAATAAATTTATCCGATTTAAAAAATAACTTTTAGTTGTTGAGGTACGAATTTTTGAAGTTGGTGGAATTTAGTTGCAATTTTAAAAACTTTCAATTTTTGTCGAAATCAAATCCTTGGAAAATTTTTATGGAACTATCAGCAATTATCAATAAAAGTATGAACTTTTCAATAAACACATCGACCTTGAAAAACGAGGTTTAGTTTCTGAGCAACAAAGGTTTCAAGTTCATCACAATTTGTAATTTGTTGTGGATTAATTTTTAAAAATTCTAAATAATTAGGTTCTTGGAAAATTAACTTGAAATTTCGTAGAAGTATTAAGAAAGATGTCTACTTTTTAATAAATGTATTGGATTTGAAAAATACCTTTTAGTCATTCAGGTTCGCATTTTTGTAGTTGATCTCAATTTATATGAATTATTTGTTTGGATTAATTTTAAAAAATTTTTAAATAATTAGGTTCTTGGAAAATTGTAACGAAGGTGACATAATTTGTAAAAAAATGTGTCTATTCTTTAATAAAGATAACCGTTTTGAAAAATATCAGCTACTTTCGAAGATATGAATGTTTGAAGTTGACAACAATACTTTCGGCTTTTCTTCATAAAATTTAAAACGTTGGGAGAAATCGATTTCTTGGTAAATTAAATTGAAATTTAGTAGAAATGTTAAGAAAGATATATAGTTTTCAATAAAGATATCCGTTTTGAAAAATAACAGCTAGTTTCGGAAATATGAATGTTTGAAGTTGGCAACAATTCTTGAAATGATCAGTATTTTTCGATAAACATTAAAACTTTGGAAAAAATCGATTTCTTGGAAAATTAAATTGAAAAATAGTAGAAGTGTTAAGAAAGATGTCTACTTTTCAATAAAGATGTTCGTTTTGAAAAATAACAGCTAGTTTCAGAAATATGCATGTTTAAAGTTTACAATTCTTAAGATTTTCTGGTTTTTTCGATAAAATTTAAAACGGTTGGAAAAACCGATTTCATGGAAAATTAAATTGAAAATTCGTAGAAGTGTTAAGAAACATGTCTACTTTGCAATAAAGATATCCGTTTTGAAAAATAACAGGTAGTTTCAGAAATATGATTGTTTGAAGTTGGTAACAATTCTTGAGATTTTCAGTAATTTTCGATAAACTTTAAAACGTTGGGAAAAACCGATTTCATGGAAAATTAAATTGAAAATTCGTAGAAGTGTTAAGAAACATGTCTACTTTGCAATAAAGATATCCGTTTTGAAAAATAACAGGTAGTTTCAGAAATATGATTGTTTGAAGTTGGTAACAATTCTTGAGATTTTCAGTAATTTTCGATAAACTTTAAAACGTTGGGAAAAATCGATTTCTTGGAAAATAAAATTGAAATTTCGTTGAAGTGTTAAAAAAGATGTCTACTTTTTAATGAAGATATCTGTCTTAATAAATAACAGCTAATTTTGGAAATATGAATGTTTGAAGTTGACAACAATTCTTGAGATTTTCAGTATTTTTCAATAAACTTTAAAACGTTGGGAAAAATCGATTTCTTGGAAAATTAAGTTGAAAATTCGTAGAAGTGTTAAGAAAGATGTCTACTTTTCAATAAAGATAGCCGTTTTGAAAAATAACAGCTAGTTTCGGAAATATGAATGTTTGAAGTTTACAATTCTTGAGATTTTCGGCTTTTTCGATAAAATTTAAAATGTTGGGAAAAATCGATTTCTTGGAAAATTAAGTTGAAATTTAGTAGAAGTGTTAAGAAAGATGTCTACTTTTCAATAAAGATGTTCGTTTTGAAAAATAACAGCTAGTTTCGGAAATATGTATGTTTGAAGTTTACAACAATTCTTGAGTTTTTCAGTAATTTTCGATTAATTTTAAAACGTTGTGAAAAATTAATTTCTTAGAAAATTAAAATGAAATTTTGTAAAAGTGTTAAAAAAGATATCTACTTTTCAATAAAATTATCCGATTTAAAAAATAACTTTTAGTTTTTGAGTTACGAATTTTTGAAGTTGGTGGAATTTTGTTGCAATTTTAAAAACTTTCAATTTTTGTCGATTAACTTTAAAGCTGTGTGAGAAATCAAATCCTTGGAAAATTTTTATGGAAGTATCAGCAATTATCAAGAAAAGTATGAACTTTTCAATAAACAGCGCGAACTTGAAAAATAAGGTTTAATTTCTGAGTAACAAAGGTTTGAAGTTGATCACAATTTGTATGTATTTTTTGTGTTTAGATTAATTTTTAAAAAAATCTAAATAATTTGATTCTCGGAAAATTGTAAGGAAGGCGACATAAATTATAAAAAAATGTATCTATTTTTCAATAAAGATATCCGTTTTGAAAAATAACAGCTAGTTTCGGAAATATAAATGTTTGAAGTTGACAACAATTCTTGAGATTGTCGCCTTTTTTCGATAAAATTTAAAATGTTGGGAAAAATCGATTTCTTGGAAAATTAAATTGAAATTTAGTAGAAGTGTTAAGAGAGATGTCTACTTTTCAATAAAGATGTTCGTTTTGAAAAATAACAGCTAGTTTCGGAGATAGGAATGTTTGAAGTTGACAGCAATTCTTGAGATTTTCGGCTTTTTTCGATAAAATTTAAAACGTTGTGAAAAACCGGTTTCATGGAAAATTAAATTGAAAATTCGTAGATGTGTTAAGAAACATGTCTACATTTTCAATAAAGATATCCATTTTGAAAAATAACAGCTAGTTTCGGAAATATGAATGTTTGAAGTTGACAACAATTTTCGCCTTTTTTCGATAAAATTTAAAATGTTGGGAAAAACCGATTTCATGGAAAATTAAATTGAAAATTCGTAGAAATGTTAAGAAACATGTCTACTTTTCAATAAAGATATCCGTTTTGAAAAATAACAGCTAGTTTCAGAAATATGAATGTTTGAAGTTGACAACAATTCTTGGGATTTTCGTCTTTTTTCGATAAAATTTAAAATGTTGGGAAAAATTAATTTTTTGGAAAATTAAATTAAAATTTAGTAGAAGTGTTAAGAAACATGTCTACATTTTCAATAAAGATATCCATTATGAAAAATAACAGCTAGTTTCGGAGATATGAATGTATCGTGTTGACAAAAATTTTTGAATTTTTCAGTATTTTTCGATAAAATTGAAAACGTTGGGAAAAATCGATTTCTTTGAAAATGAAATTGAAATTTAGTAGAAATGTTAAGAAAGATGTCTACTTTTCAATAAAGATATCCGTTTTGAAAAATAACTGCTAGTTTCGGAAATATGAATGTTTGAAGTTTACAATTCTTGAGATTTTCGGCTTTTTTCGATAAAATTTAAAACGTTGGGAAAAACCGATTTCATGGAAAATTAAATTGAAAATTCGTAGAAGTGTTAAGAAAGATATCTAGTTTTCAATAAAGATATCCGTTTTGAAAAATAACAGCTAGTTTCGGAGATATGAATGTTTGTAGATGATAACAATTCTTGAGTTTTTCAGAATTTTCGATAAATTTTAAAACGTTGGGAAAAATCGATTTCTTGGAAAATTGCATTAAAATTTCGTAAAAGTGTTAAGAAAGATATCTATTTTTTAATAAAGGTATCCGTTTTGAAAAATAACAGCTAGTTTCAGAGATATGAATGTTTGAAGTTGGCAAAAATTCTTGGGATTTTCGCCTTTTTCGATAAAATTTAAAATGTTGAGAAAAATCAATTTTTTGGAAAATTAAATTAAAATTTAGTAGAAGTGTTAAGAAATATGTCTACTTTTCAATAAAGATATTCGTTTTGAAAAATAACAACTACTTTCGGAAATATGAATGTTTGAAGATGTCAACAATTCTTGAGTTTTTCGGCTTTTTTCGATAAAATTTAAAACGTTTGGAAAAACCGATTTCATGGAAAATTAAATTGAAATTTCGTAGAAATGTTAAGAAAGATATCTATTTTTCAATAATGATATCCATTTTGAAAAATAACAGCTAGTTTCGGAGATATGAATGTTTCGAGTTGGCAACAATTCTTAAGATTGTCAGTATTTTTCCATAAACTTTAAAACGTTGGGAAAAATCATTTCTTGGAAAATTAAATTGAAAATTCGTAGAAGTGTTAAAAAGGATGTCTGCTTTTCAATAAAAATATCCGTTTTGAAAAATAGCAGCTAGTTTCGGAGATATGAATATTTGAAGTGAACAACAATTCTTGAGATTTTTGGCTTTCTTCGATAAAATTTAAAACGTTTGGAAAAACCGATTTCATGGAAAATTAAATTGAAAATTCGTAGAAGTGTTAAGAAACATGTCTACTTTGCAATAAAGATATCCGTTTTGAAAAATAACAGGTAGTTTCGGAAATATGATTGTTTGAAGTTGGTAACAATTCTTGAGATTTTCAGTAATTTTCGATAAACTTTAAAACGTTGGGAAAAACCGATTTCATGGAAAATTAAATTGAAAATTCGTAGAAGTGTTAAGAAAGATGTCTACTTTTCAATAAAGATGTTCGTTTTGAAAAATAACAGCTAGTTTCGGAAATATGTATGTTTGAAGTTTACAATTCTTTAGATTTTTGGCTTTTATCGATAAAGTTTAAAGCGTTGGGAAAAACCGATTTCAGGGAAAATTAAATTGAAAATTCGTATAAGTGTTAAGAAACATGTCTACTTTTCAATAAAGATATCCGTTTTGAAAAATAACGGCTAGTTTCGGAGATATGAATGTTTGAAGTTGGCAAAAATTCTTGAGTTTTTCAGTATTTTTCGATAAACTTTAAAACGTTGGGAAAAATCAATTTCTTGGAAAATTAAATTGAAAATTCGTAGAAGTGTTAAAAAGGATGTCTGCTTTTCAATAAAAATATCCGTTTTGAAAAATAGCAGCTAGTTTCGGAAATATGAATGTTTGTAGTTGATAACAATTCTTGAGTTTTTCAGTATTTTTCGATAAATTTTAAAACGTTGAGAAAAATCGATTTCTTAGAAAATTTAATTGAAATTTCGTAGAACTGTTAAGAAAGATATCTAGTTTTCAATAAAGATATCCGCTTTGAAAAATAACAGCTAGTTTCGGAGATATGAATGTTTGAAGTTGGTAACAATTCTTGAGTTTTTTGGCTTTTTTCGATAAAATTTTAAATATTGGGAAAAACCGATTTCATGGAAAATTAAATTGAAAATTCGCAGAAGTGTTAAGAAACATGTCTACTTTTCAATAAAGATATCCATTTTGAAAAATAACTGCTAGTTTCGGAAATATGAATGTTTGTAGTTGATAACAATTCTTGAGTTTTTCAGTATTTTTCGATAAATTTTAAAACATTGGGAAAAATCGATTTCTTGGAAAATTTAATTGAAATTTCGTAGAACTGTTAAGGAAGATATCTAGTTTTCAATAAAGATATCCGTTTTGAAAAATAACCCCTAGTTTCGGAAATATGAATATTTGAAGTTGGCAACAATTCTTGAGTTTTTCAGTATTTTTCGATAAACGTTAAAATGTTGGGAAAAATTGATTTCTTGGAAAATTTTATTGAAATTTCGTAGAATTGTTAAGAAAGATATCTAGTTTTCAATAAAGATATCCGTTTTGAAAACTAACAGCTAGTTTCGGAGATATGAATGTTTGAAGTTGGCAACAATTCTTGAGTTTTTCAGTATTTTTCGATAAACTTTAAAACGTTGGGAAAAATCGATTTCTTGGAAAAGTATTAAGAAAAATATCTACTTTTTAATAAATGTATCCGAACTTTAAAGCTCAACGAGAAATCAAATCTACAAAATCCCCGATTAGTAATAAGAAAATGAAGTTTTCAAAGAAAGTATTTAACTTGAAAAATATCTTTATCTTTGTAGTTTTTAAGTAATAAATTTTTGAAATTCTTATATCTATTTGTATTCATTCATCTTGAAACAATTCTCTACTTTGTGTGAGTTGTAAATTCGTAACTTTTTCTTTCACCTGCCCTTGGTGAAAGCTCCCTTTCGCACCAATACAGACCTCTGCTTTATCCGCCAACTGTTTCTTTCGTTTTTTTATGTTCATTTTTATTTTCTGCTTCGCCTTTGAGGTTTCCCTATTAAATTACGTGACGCGGGACTCATTCAGATCACTTTCATCGATTACGATTCTCTACGCGCGTAAAGTCTCGGTCATCGTAAAGGTTGCTTGACGGTATGAAAGCGAAAGGCTTTCTCGAACTCGTTATATGTTTATGTGGGTTTTCGCAAGAATCTTAACGTTGTGTAATAACATGATAAAAAAAACTTTCACAATTTGCTCAAAAAAATATGTAAATATTGATCGTTAGAGAAAGAAAGAAAAATATTATTGTATATCTGTACTTTCCTTTATATCCATAAAGTTCAATTTTATGAGTTGTGTTACGACTTTTTTGATTAATTATACTTTCACTACGTGTGTTGTGTATTTAAACCATTTAATTACAACATTGATATCGTTAATTAATAACTAATTTTCTTTTAGATTGCTTTTTATGCAGTGCTACAACTTACCTTAATTCTTGGAAAAGCCATCGAGAATCGGTCCCAACCCGAAGCTAAAGCTTTATTTCAACCGTAAGATTAATTTATTTTGGATTGAAAAAAAAAATGATTTTTGTTTAATTAATTACAGAGTGGTTGCTCAAAAACGTGTTGGAAATGAATATCTTCCTCCAAGTTTTGATGATCACCACCATGATGAGCATCACGTAGTCGATGATCACCATGAAATACACGATCATCATCACGACCACCACGATCCAGGGTTTTGGAAGAAAAAGGTGATTTGGAAAAAAGGATGGAAAAAGATTTGGAAACCCGCAAAGAAGCAGATTTGGAAACCTGCGTGGAAAAAATATTACAAACCCATTTGGGTACCAATAACCGTCCCAGCTTGGAAAGATGTAAAAGTTCCCGATTGGAAAAAAATATGGAAACCAGTTTGGAAAGAGATAAAAGTCCCAGCGTGGAAAGAAATTCAAGTTCCCGACTGGAAAAAGATTTGGAAACCAGTTTGGAAACCAATTTCAGTCCCAGCTTGGAAAGAAATTCAAGTCCCAGATTGGAAAAAAATATGGAAACCCGTTTGGAAAGAAATTCAAGTTCCCGCATGGAAAGATATTCAAGTTCCCGCATGGAAAAAGTTATGGATCCCCGAATGGGTCAAAGAAGGAATTCCCGGTGAACATTTTCTCGGAAAAGATCATCACGGAAATGAATACACAGCTCACGACGTTTGGAAAAAGAAATTAATTTGGAAACCTTTATGGAAAAAATACTGGAAACCGGCCAAAAAACAAATTTGGGTCGCCGATAAAAAATTGGAATGGAAAGAAGCTTGGAAACAAATTTGGAAAACAGAAAAGAAACAAATTTGGGTGGCCGATAAAAAATTAGCGTGGAAAGAGGCGTGGAAACAAATTTGGAAAACAGAAAAGAAACAAATTTGGGTTGCGGATAAAAAATTAGAATGGAAAGAAGCCTGGAAACAAATTTGGAAAACTGTACAAAAACAAATTTGGGTTCCCGATAAAAAATTGGAATGGAAAGCGGCTTGGAAACAAATTTGGGTTCCAGATTGGAAAGAAATTTGGGTTCCAGGATGGAAACAAATTTGGAGACCTGTCGTAATATCCGAATGGTTCCCAACACCCGATCACCACGATGATCACGATCATCATCACGGTTGGGATCGAAAAGATGTCATCCCCAGTGAATCAGTTAAAAAGTACACAGTTACCAATGCAACCGATGTATTAGGAACGTTTGAAAGCAAAAAGCAACCAATCCAAAGCAAAAAATGGCAATTTCCACAATCATAAATAAACGTTACTTTTATTTTCCAAATAACTTAAAGAGCCTGTATATATTTAGATTTAGAGATGACTGACTCGAATGTGTTATAGTGTAAGAATTATTATTTTGAATGATTTTGTGTGCTATTATGACCTCATACTTTGTTGATTTTTATGTTTTATTTAATAAATTACAATTTAATAACATGTCGTATTTCTTGTCGACTTTTTTGGTGTTCTATTGCGGTGAAAGTAAGATTAAAGTAACATACACAAAGGAATTTACATGAGACGTACGCGAAAATTTTGTTTACAAACTAAACCGGTAACTTTCACTGATAATTGATTCTCGTTTGGGCGTCGTGGCTCGTGTCGATGGATAGAAAGAATCGAATGGTAAATCGTTTTCTAGTTATCTGGGATTCAACAATGTGGACAGTGAAAGTAAATATTTTCATTTCAAATTGATTAATGTTAGAAAAACGATTAATTTGGTTAAATTGGTTTCAAGATGTTTAAAAAATGTATGGATATGGTTTTATAATTAGTTAATATTAGATTATTTAATCATTTTTTCGTTTAAATTTATTTATAATTTACAACATTTTGTATTTCTGGTGGAGGAGCCGGATTAATTACGTATTTGAGGTTTGCATTAGAATTGCTGATGAATTTTATTTACATATAATATCTGTCAAATTCTTGTCAAGTTGGTAATAGTTGGGAAGATTAACATTATATCAAAGTGACGTTCTCACTATCTTATATCAACATAAAATCATAACGTAAAACATAAACTAAATTCTAATTACACTACTATTTGTATAAATAATCACTATAACATATTCTTTATCATCAAGGTTTATTCTTTATTTTATATTCAATTTAATTCAATAATTTATTTGAATTGACTTTTAAGGTTACAAGTGTCATTCTGACATAAATAAACGTCATTGAAATGGAAAATGTCACTTTGACGTTTAACACATGTTTTAAATAAGAAATTTTAGTAAGAAAGTTTGTAAAGAAATCTACTTAACTCGAAAAACTTCCATGATAATAATGTCTGGGACTATTTAAATCCAAACACATTCTCAAAAAGCCTTATTGAACCCTACAATATTACGAGTGATAACAAAAAAACTGATTTTATTGCTCCAAATTAATCAACAAAGTTTTGACAGGAACATAACCTAACTTTTTTAAATTTTTAAAAATTGTAGTGGTTTATTTAAGAAAAAGCAAGTAAGTCGATAATTTTAAATCATATAACAATTATGACCTAATAGATAAAACTTTTTGGACTTAAAAAGAGAAAAAAGCATATTGTCATATTTCCTCATTTCCGAAGACTTTGTACAACCTACAACATTTTAGTGTATATAATGGCGTTTTTGATGGATTTAAGTGTTTAAATGTTGGTAGTAAGTATAACTATAAGCGCTATGCTCCTAAATTACAAATGAAATAGAATTAGATTTAATCTCTAGATAGTAATATTGAAAATTAAATTTTATGTGGATTATATTTTATAGGTTATGTCATGTCTTAATTACAGTATTCTATAAACAATGACGACTTCCACCCAAAAAGTGGAAGTCGTTTTTATACATCTTTTCCCTTCATTTCATCTCCATCCTTTATTTCTTCCTATTTTTATGCATTTTATTAAACATTTTCTTACTATAACATCATTTACCTTACTTTTTCTTAAATAATTTTTGAAAATTCACAATAATTTTAAAATGACAAGATGTTGCTGTCAAAATTTCATTGATTAATTTTGTGTAATAAAATCACTTCGCGGGATCTTAAATCACTAGAAATATATAGACTAAATGCTTATAAACGTATTTTGATTGCCTTTTCGGTGTAATTAAACTTGTTTTTCATAAAAATCTTGTATTTTAGGGAGAGTAGCCGTCGATGACTCAAATGTCAAAAGTACGATTTAATATGTTACCACTAGATGGCGGAGTAATTGTTTTAATAATTAATTTTCTCTTTTTAACTGCAAAAAGTGTTATCTATTAAGTCATAATTATTATATGATTTAAAATTAAAAAATCAATCGACTTACTTGGTTAAATGGACCACACCAATTTTTAAAAATTCACAAAAATTTCAAATTGATAAGATACAAAAGTTAGGTTATGTTCTTGTCAAAACTTCTCTGNCTACTTAACTCGAAAAACTTCCATGATAATAATGTCTGGGACTATTTAAATCCAAATACATTCTCAAAAAGCCTTATTGAACCCTACAATATTACGAGTGATAACAAAAAAAATCGTAAGAATGGTCGCCAACTTAATTTTTCGCATAATCGCGTCATTGTTTATAGAATACTGTAATTAAGACATGAGATAGAAAAATATAATAACCCACTTTACCCTTACAAAATCACCTTACGAAGTTAAGGGACAGAAAATAAGCACGTGTTCGAGGTTTGCATTAGAATTGCTGATGAATTTTATCTATATACATATATCTGTCAAATTGATATGAAGTTGGTTACAGTTGGGAAGATTAACATTATGTCAAACTGACGTTCTCACTATCTTATATCATGATAATAATGTCTGGGACTCTTTAAATCCAAATACATTTTCAAAAAGCCTTGTTGAACCCTACAATATTACGGGTGATAACAAAAAAACTGATTTTATTGCTCCAAATTAATCAACAAAGTTTTGACAGGAACATAACCTAACTTTTTTATCTTGTCAATTTAAAATTTTTGTGAATTTTTAAAAATTGTAGTGGTTTATTTAAGAAAAAGCAAGTAAGTCGATTGATTTTATTAATTTTAAATCATATAATAATTATGACCTAATAGATAAAACTTTTTGGAGTTAAAAAGAGAAAGAAGCATATTGTCATATTTCCTCATTTCCGAAGACTTTGTACAACCTACAACATTTTAGTGTATATAATGGCGTTTTTGATGGATTTAAGTGTTTAAATGTTGGTAGTAAGTATAACTATAAGCGCTATGCTCCTAAATTACAAATGAAATAGAATTAGATTTAATCTCTAGATAGTAATATTGAAAATTAAATTTTATGTGGATTATATTTTATAGGTTATGTCATGTCTTAATTACAGTATTCTATAAACAATGACGACTTCCACCCAAAAAGTGGAAGTCGTTTTTATACATCTTTTCCCTTCATTTCATCTCCATCCTTTATTTCTTCCTATTTTTATGGATTTTATTAAACATTTTCTTACTACATATAACATCATTTACCTTACTTTTTCTTAAATAATTTTTGAAATTTAAAATGACAAGATGTTGCTGTCAAAATTTCACTGATTAATTTTGTGTAATAAAATCACTTCGCGGGATCTTAAATCACTAGAAATATATAGTCTAAATGCTTATAAACGTATTTTGATTGCCTTTTCGGTGTAATTAAACTTTTTTTTCATAAAAAATCTTGTATTTTGGGGAGAGTAGCCGTCGATGATTCAAATGTCAAAAGTACGATTTAATATGTTACCGCTAGATGGCGGGGTAATTGTTTTAATAATTAATTTTCTCTTTTTAACTCCAAAAAGTGTTATCTATTAGGTCATAATTATTATATGATTTAAAATTAAAAAATCAATCGACTTACTTGGTTTTCCTTAAATAGACCACACCAATTTTTAAAAATTCACCAAAATTTCAAATTGATAAGATAAAAAAGTTAGGTTATGTTCTTGTCAAAACTTCGCTGACTCATTTTAAAGGTTTTTTAATAAACAATACATAATGAAAGAACACCATTAAGTTGTCCATTTGTCTATTATAATATATGATAACTAACTTCAGGTTTAAAATGTCAACCTCAATTTTGACATATTTGTAATCTTCTTTAAAAATCCTTTAAAATGAGTCCAAAGATGATACGTTTAATTCCAATATTACTCGAGATATAAGCACCTTCCGGTTTGAAATGTCAATGTCATTTTGACATACTCTTAATTTTTATAAAATGTCTTAATATTTGTCACAAAAACGAAAGTATAAAAAAAAAAAAAAAAAATTAAGGTTGGTATTAATATTTAAAAATTAAATTGCTATCTTCATTGTTGCTAACTTCAAGGGTTTAATGTTTTTTATTCTAACTTTTTTGTTTTTTGAGATAAGTGCGTCATCTTTGGACTCATTTTAAAGGTTTTTTAATGAAGATGACAAATATGTCAAAATTGACGTTGACGTTTCAAACCGGAAGTGATTGTATTTCCCTTAATATTAAAGTTAAATATGTCGAGTTTGGACTCATTTTAAAGGATTTTTTATGAAGTTGACAAATATGTCAAAATTAAATGTTGAAAGTTCGACCTTTTTGGTTTTTTGAGATAAATGCGTCAAGTTTGGATTCACTTTAAAGGTTATTTTATGAAGATTACGAATATAATAATAAAATTAAGATTGACAACTGAAAGAATTATTAAAGAATGATCTACATACTTTTCAATTAAACCATGTAAAGTGGCTCTCATAATTCCAAGAATAGCTAAAGAAATGATCTTCAAACTAACCTCAAAATTATAGATATAGAGCTATAAAAAATCTTTTGAATTTTTTGCTTTATTAAATATGTTTTCAAAAATAAATAATATAAATACAAATAAATAAATAAATTTGGTATCAATAAAGTTCACGTTAACCTTAAAAGTAAATACATCGTTAAGTTATAATAAGCGAATTCATCAACGAGAACTTTTGTATCTCGCAAAGCTGTTTCAACTAACGGTGATGAAGTGGTGCGTATGGAATCCATTCGTTTATGCTTATTGGTGTCCACACTTTTTTCCATACCGGAATGTAAATCTTAAAATAAAAATATGTTTAAAATATACTAATTTTATAACAATATTTACCGTTTTTGGAACCCAATGCTTCACCCAATGAGCTTTCCATTGCGATTTTGTTGCCCAATGTCCTCCTATGGGAACTTCCGCTGGTACTTCCACGGACCTTTAATTGGATTTAATTATTTTATTTTAGTTATTTAAAATAATAAATTACCTCCTTGTAGATTTTTGTTGACAAGTTACGATCGCACATATCACACCTAATAAAACAACCCAGATCTGAAGAAAAAAAGCTTTTTAAATACTTACAATAAGTAAATTAACAAATACTAACATAAATTTTCATTATAAACTTTCACGGAAAATCACTAATTGCATTAGACGCGTTATTCGTTGTAACCGCCAAGAAGAAACGATAAGAAATGTTTTAAAGAGGAAATTGTAACGACGTATTATATATATAGTTTAAACGTCGGCTGAATATTCAACAAAGGAAAGTGTTATACATCTTGTAGCATTTAGGTCATTATCGAAAACGAGGTGCGCATTTGATTACGAATCTTCTATTTAACCTTAACTTTCAGTTCTACAACGTATGTAGAATATAATAAAATAACTTAAAAAAACGTTTATATTCGTACGATTATGATGAAATTCGTTGTTTATCACTATTATAAACAAATAAAAGCATAAAGGTCAAGCTTTCACCATAACAAAGACAATTTCATGTATACTAAAAGTCGTCCCGTTACAAGCATCAAATAAACATCATTTCTTCTAATAAATTGTGCTGTATAAGTACGAAGGCTTTCACGGCCGGTGGTAATTAAACTAAAACTAGAACTAACACTATCACTAGAACTAACACAAGACCTAGAACTAGTGTCAACTTTAATTCTGTTATTATATTCGTAATCTTCATAAAATAACCTTTAAAGTGAGTCCAAACTTGACGCATTTACCTCAAAAAATCAAAAAGTTCGAACTTTCAACTTTTAATTTTGACATATTTGTCAACTTCATAAAAAATCCTTTAAAATGAGTCCAAACTCGACATATTTAACTTTAATATTAATGGAACTACAATCACTTCCGGTTTTAAACGTCAATGTCAATTTTGACATATTTGTCATCTTCATTAAAAAACCTTTACAATGAGTCCAAAGATGAGGCATTTATCTCAAAAAACAAAATAGTTAGAATAAAAAACATTAAACCCTAAGTTAGCAACAATGAAGATAGCAAATTAATTTATAAATATTAATACCAACCTTAATTTTTTATTTTTTTCTATTATATTTTTGTTTTTATAACAAATATTAAGACATTTTATAAAACCTAAGAATATGCCAAAATGACATTGACATTTCAAACCGGAAGTTGCTTATATCTCGAGTAATATTGGAATTAAACGTATCTTGTTTGGACTCATTTTAAAGGATTTTTCACGACGATTACAAATATGTCAATTCAAATACATTTGTTGAACTATTTAATTTATATTTGTTTTACACAAAAGTTGGAATAGATTGCATTATTTCACATTTTTTATTAATATTCAGTATTATTATTAAATGACTTAATAAATTACTGATAGATGGCGCTCATATATTTTGTTTTTAATTCAAATAAACATAACAACATTTGTTTATATTCAACAATTTTATGAAGGGTCAAATTAAAAATCCTGTTTTTTAAGATGGATTACGAAAACATAGAAAATAGCTTCGTAAAAATGCAACTCTCTAAACAAAAACTTCGTATTAAAAAATTGAACGTATGTGGCGCCATCTGTTGGGGATATCTTAGAATTATTCAGCTAAGAACCGAACCACTAGTATATAGGTTGGATTGGGTTTATATTATAAAAGCTTCAACCACAGAATAACTGTTTGGAAAGTGTTTGGAACCACTATGTGGCTCCAATTAATGTTCCGACTGGTTGGGAATTCCTCAGATACAATTATCTATGTATGGCAATTACACCTGTCAAATAATGCCGCCACATTTCAATATCACTGCATCATATGACATGTGAGATTGCATCTGACGAGCTTCCAACGAGTTATAACTTATAACGTTAGTTGAAACAAAGTTATAATGTTAATTATAATTTAATTATTTAATCATACCATTATTACGTTATTATACTCTTACCGAAAAATCACTTTAAAATGACGTTTTCATCTGTCATTCTGAACAAACTTCAAGTAACTTAAAATTTTAAGTTGAAGTTAGCGGCAAATTTAAAAATATAAGACTAATTGGAATCTATACTTTTTAAATTAAAAGAATGATACTGGTAATAATTGTTATTGCTCTCTCTCATCATTCCCACTATTAATAATAAAATTGTTAGTTTAATTAAATTATTTCAGTATAGACGCTAATGCCATCTTACGGTGGGATTTCGACATACAATCAGTCCCAAGTTCTCCTATCAAAGATCCCTGGGGCTGATTTACACCTAGAAAGTTGAAGAAATTGCTGTTTTTAACACTTTAATGTTGTTGGACAAGAAATTATCCATAAGAATGCTTTAACTTAACGCACAAGAAACTTAACTAACCATTAAAAATTATCTACAAATTTTACCACCATTCAAAAAATGGCGCCATCTATAATTGAATAACTACACTTTCAATTAAATTTTGTTGTATTAATTTATCATATAAATGTAAGATTAATATAAAAATGTTAAACGTTTTCTCAAATAGAAAGTTATTTTTTTTTAATTATTTATTATAATTTTCAATTTATAAGAATAATAATCATCATGACGTTAGCTTTTTAAAATATGTCAAGTTTGAAACGTCACCTGTCATCTTTATCCAAATGCATTTTCACAGGTTAATTAACATTAAAGTATTGTTTTAATTTAACAACTTATAACTTTATAATAATGGCTGGTTCGGCACTAAGACGACTTATGGCAGAATATAAACGTAAGACACCAAAAAAAGAATTTTTTTCCCTCTAAAATTAATCAATATTTACAAGATTAAGGGTGTAATGTAAACTTTTCTGTATATTTAGAATTAACGTTAAACCCCCCAGAAGGAATCATAGCGGGACCAATAAACGAAGAAAACTTTTTCGAATGGGAAGCATTAATAACGTAATTAACTTAAAATAAATTATTAAAAAACGCATCAATTTTAATGTAAAGATTATAGGGGACCCGAAGGAACTTGTTTTGAAGGTGGAGTTTTTCCTGCAAAGTTAACATTTCCCCCTGATTACCCTTTAAGTCCGCCGAAAATGCAATTTACTTGTGAGATGTTTCACCCAAACATTTACGCGGATGGAAAAGTTTGCATTTCTATTTTACATGCACCTGGTGATGATCCAATGGGGTATGAATCAAGTGCTGAGAGATGGTCACCTGTTCAAAGTGTAGAAAAGATATTGTTATCTGTTGTTAGTATGTTAGCAGGTAAGTTTTAAGAGATTTAAAAAAATTATAAATGATTAAAAATTGTTATGTTGTTTTTTAGAGCCAAATGATGAAAGTGGTGCGAATGTTGATGCTGCAAAAATGTGGAGGGAAAATAGAGATGAATTTAATAAAATTGCAGAAAGAATTGTGAGAAGAACTTTAGGTATTCCCACATAAATAAAATAAGAAATAGTGAAAAAAATTTTGATTTTATTGGGGTTTTATTACCTTTATTTTTATTATTTCAAATAAACAGAGTTTGTTGATAGATATTTTAACATGTCGTCCACATAAATCTATATATTATGTAAGCACAACTATTTTTTTTTCTTTGTAATTATTTTAGGGGTTTCGATATATATTTTATTTGTTACAAAAATACGTTTTTTTAACTCGTCCTTTCATTTTTTTTTAATCAATCTCTTAAACATTAATGTTTTAAATTAAAAAAAGAAAAGAATATTATTTTTAGATGAAATATAAAAACCTAAAAACGTTTTCTTTTGATATAATTAAAGAATTAATCATATATTGCCTTATTTATTTATTTTCGTGGATGTATCATATTTTATTTCATTTGGTTTATTTCTTTATATCGTTGTGTATCTGTTTTATGGCACAGTAAACCATTTTTATTTCATTTTTCGAAGATAAACAACATTTCTTCAAGTTGTTTGTTTTTTTTTTTTTAATTAATAATTCACATAAATTATGTGATATCCAAGACAAAATATGACCTAATTCTAATCTTTTTTTGTTTCATTTAAAACTGTTGTAAAAGTATTGATTACAACGTGGCGAAAACGTTTTTAGGACGGACCGTTTAATGTAACCACAATTGAACATATATAACTTATTCTTTTCGTTTTAGATTGATTTTTATTTTTTAAATTTTATTTGGACGTACAATAAGTCTTTTTTGGGAGGTATTTGGTACATTTAATAAGGTTTTTTTCGATAAATTCGAGTTGTTTCTAAAAAAAAGGAATTGAGTACGGAAAAATATTTATTTTTTTCTTTTTTTGGGGAAGAGTTTAAGATTAAGAACAATTAATTCGTATTTGCCTCAAAGTTGTTTTTTTTAAACTTTGAGGCAAAAATCTACATCTTAATTAAACTTAATTAATATTTAATAAAAGAAATAAAGAAAACGAAAAGATAAAAATGTATATAAACTCGTTTATTAATTATTATTAAGTTAATTTTAAAAAACTCATACATATAAGCTAAGATAAATACAAAGATTTGATTGTATTTAACCCCAAATTTTTGTATTTATTCAGATCGTAAATTAAAATTAAAAACGAAACAACAACTTCAATGTAATAAAAATACATTTACTACATAGAATTTAAAAAATTTACCAAGAAAAAATAATATTCTATGTAATTCTATGTACAAGATAGAAATTTACAACAATCACAGATAAGACACGTTTTTACATTCTCTGTCAAAACATATTCCTCAATTTGAGAAATTGCACATGATACATTTTTTTATTCGTCTCCAACAAACGTCCTCTTTTTCTACCTCTTCGTCCGCGATTTCGGCTTCTTCGTTTTTTTGCTGAAATCATCATCGGATTGGGAGAGTTCTTCGAATTTTCTTTTCGACTTCCCTATAATCACAACCATAATCAATCACTTTTTCACAATAATTATTTATTATTGTCGTTATAATAAAGTATGTCCAACAAAAAAAATTCATTTCAAGATTAATTAAAATCTAAAACAAATACTTTTTAAACACAATTCTTTTTATTGAACATAACAATAAAAATCTCGTATAAATAATTTCATTTTGATTAAATTAATTTTTGTTTTAATTTTGGACAATTATTTCTTACGAGAGTTAATGCAAAAAAAGGGTTAAATAAAGCAAAAGAATTCATGCGAAAGCACAAGAACATTTATTTTGATTATTTTTCATTTTTTAATTTTGAGATGGATATATAACGTACCTTTAGTGAGATTTTGAAAAGTCTGTTGTTTTTCTCCGTTTTGCCTGGGCTTATATCCTAAAAGAAAAGGTACATGCATTAAAAAATAACCGAATTGTTGGGATATCAATGCATTTTATGTAATAAAATTAGTAATTTTGCAAAATACCTAAACATATTAATTTGTAAAATTTTAAAAAAATGATATATGTTCAATCTCAGCTTTTTAATTTTTCCCTTGATGATGAAGTTATTCCATTGACTGGGTGCAGACATCAAAGACCAAAAAGGTCACGGATCTACAGACTTTAAATTGACATAGCATAAATTGCGATTAAAAAGCAAGGCGAAATCTTTAGACATACAGTGTGTTAATTAATTATCGTACACGACGTCATCATTGTAAGTATGCAACCAATATCACACTGAATATATCTGAATGCGCAAATCGCGTATTGCAATACCAGTACTGTGATGTTGGTTGCATACTTTGCAATGATGACGTCGTGTACGATAATTAATTAACACACTGTACATTATATGAAGTTAAAAATAGTTGTCTTAATATGTTATTTTAATTTTTTCAATTGTTGGATTGTTAATTGTTGGACTGTGTTTCAAGAGCAGGCGGTGTTTCGCGATTCATTGTTTAAGACTAGAAAAAGTCTTCAAAACACGCTCAAGCTGATTAAATTTCCCAAATCTTCATCAAAATCACCTATTGACCACGATGAGGTGAGTTACTCAAATTACATGAGTTGTCTGCAAGAGTATTTCATTCAAAATTTGCCCAAAAAAATCAAACATCATCCAGTGGCTGACCAAATGAAGTTCACAAAATCAGAATTGTATAAATTGACATGGCGTTCTTTCTTATTGTTTCCCTCCAAGTTATCTTCGGTCTTCCACTCCTCCTTCTTCCTTTGGGTGTCCATTAATATAGCTGTTTTGGTTGTCTTTGTATATGTCCGTACTATCTTAGCTGGGTTTTTCTTATGTCATCTATTATGTCCATCTTATGTGTGTTACTGCCATAATTTCCTTGGTGATCCTATTCATTTTACTTACCACTCTACGCCAATAAATCATTTCTTTTCAGGATTTTCTCCGTTTAGTAGCTACTGTATTATGCTTTTTAATACCGTATTATAGATTTGATGCTTAGTCTTGTTTGATACGTCATTCGTCATAGCTAATTCCTCTTCTGCCTTGTATGTGTATATCCTTTATAATGCACTCTTAGTGTTCCGTTGCTGGTTATTCGTGCTCTCAAATATTTGTACATGTTGTCTTGTCCTCCCACACACATACAGGCCGTTTTTTGTATGCCCCATTCGATGAGCTTCCTGGTCTTGTATTCCATATCTTGCTACTCAATTATTATTTAAACGCATTTTCTGTTCCACTGTTTTAGTGCTTGCTCTGGATATAAAGAGTTCTCCAATAAGAGCGGGCCGATATTGACAGTCTGTGGCGACCATGTTGTTTTGGCGATGTATCACTCAAATCAGTTATTTATTATTCAGTTATTTATTATTCAGTCATTGATGCTAAATCACTATGGCATATTACACGCTTGAGCAGAACGTTCAAATGCTTCAAAAATTTATTATCAAAATGAGTGTTTATTAGCGCATTTTGCGGCAGATGCGGTGGCCCTCAAAGTCGACTCTCCAACGTTTGATGGCCAAATTCTAATCAGAAACGATCAGCTGATACCAGTACGCCAAAGGAATATATATAAACTTCAGCTTGGCGAATTTTGTGTCGAAACTTGGGTTTGCACCTTTCCAAGACCCAACTAATTCAGGAACTCCAAGTTGATGACCATAGATAACACCATTTGTTCGCTGAGTGGCCTTGAGCATTTGGAAGAGAACCAAAATTTTGAACGAAATATAATTTTTGCATGAATCAAAATCAAATTCAACCAGATTTATACGGCAGAGTGAATGAATAGAATATTTGTTATTCATAACTTGCTTTGTGGATTGATGCTGTCGTATACTGTTTTAGCCCTATCGGGACTATGGGGATTTCTCGATTATACGCTGTTTTTTTCATTAATTGAGAGACACAAAATAAATACATCTTGTTCTATTTTCTTTTTCAATTAACCAATATAAGCCCTAACTTCTAACTCTCTTCAAACTGAGAATAAAATCTTACAGAAAATATCTGTTATAAATTAAGTAATTTATTTGCAAAATTATGGTGAATAACCAAATTTTCACATAAAAATAGGAATTTTGCAATGTTACAAGTTTTATTACGAAAAATGCATTTATAGGTGTCTTTAAAAAACATGTACAACGATCCTGAGGCGAAAATAACTTAAGTTCCATATCTATTAATATAAGTCATTCAACCCACAAACGTTTTATGTAGAAAGGATTAAGTTTTGTTCAGAAATTATAAAATATGTTGAAATAAACATATAGATACTTTAGAATTTTGTAAAACACTATTTTATGGTGTTAACTTCAAAGGAGTTTATACACTTATTTCCAAAGCTCTTTTTTTTTTGCTGAATTTATCTTTAAAAGTTCTGCTAATGTTAAACTATCATATTTTAACAACTTACTTATTTTGTACTTATGTGGTTATACCTTTAAACCTATATCAACCCATATATATATTTTTTTACTGTATCTTCTTACTATAAACATTAACTTAGCAATGTGTAACAAAGAGATCTCATAGGATTTTAAATTTACAACTAATGTAAATTGTATTTTGACATTATAGAGAAACATTTTATTAAATTTTATGATTTAACATGAAACATCAATTCTTCTTGAACCGAGGTTACTGTAAAGAAATTGAAACATCGAACCTAAATAAACAACATTACTATATTAAATATTGCAAATAATAAACGTTAACAAATGCGAATACCAAAATCGAGATGTAATAAAAAAATCAATACCAATAAACCGTAGTTTCTTCCAAAGAAATAGAAATTAATCCAAATTAACTAATATTATAGATTCCAATTCAGAAAAAGAGTCATCCAAACCCAAAACTTTCATGTAATCAGTTAAAGTTAAATAATAGTTAATCTCTCACTTTTAAAGTAGCAAAGAACATAATCCTCCACAATTTGCAAATACCTACAAACTTCCACTTCTAAGTTTTTTGAGCAAACTTCTACATCCCATCAGGATCTCTGAAATTAAAATCAATTTCTACAGAATTAGCTCTGAGTAAATCATTGATTAAGCAAGATTACAGCCTAGCTACGTACTGTAGGTACTGTATAGGTGTAGGTGTAGGAAGTACATATTTGCTATTGATATGGGTGCTAAAATCCTTTTTGAGAGAGGGGTGAAGACCAGGTTAGCCGCTGCAGGCCGTTAAAACGGTGTCGGTTCTGGCTAATGACTGTAAAAGAACTCTAAACAAACTAAGTTGTGATAACAGAGTTACTCTGATCTGGGTCCCAGGTCACTCTGGGGTTGCTGGTAATGAAGCGGCAAACGAGAGGACAGCGCTAAAGCCTTTGTGGGGCCAGAGCCAGCAGTTGGTATATTTATGATGGTCAAACCTAAGATTGGACTATGGACTGAAGAGAGTCACTGTCAAACCCGAGAATATTTGAGGACTTGCTCGTAGCAGCATTAAAATTCTAAAGGGGTTACTGGGCACTGCCGATTAAAGGTACACCTCAACTTGTTGGGTCTAGCCGACGATGTTAAATGCTGACTATGTACGGAGGACAAGGAGACGGTTGAGCAGGTTTTATGCCACTGCCCTGCTGTTAAACGTATCAGATTCTATATATATAGGATACATGGTCTGCTCAAAGTACATAAAGATGATAAACCTTTGAGACCTATAATAAATAATATCAATGGACCTACCAATTAATTAGCAAAGTTCTTGAATAAATCATTACATTTCTTAAATGAATATGACGTCAAAAGCGCTGCGGAATTAAAGGAGAAAATAAAGTTATTAAATATAGAAGATTTGAATGATATTGATGTAGTGAGTTTTGACGTACAATCGTTGTTTACTAATATACCATTACATAAAATGATTGAATTATTGGAACAAGATTGGCAACATATTGAAGAGCACACCCTAATTAAAAATAAAAAAGTATTTATTGAGGGCATAAAATTATGCACCATTAATAATTATTGCATATATAATGAAATATATTATAGACAAATCTTTGGATTACCCAATAGGGTCGAGTTGGATATGTCAATAATCATCGATAAGAACAATAACATACTAAAGACGAAATGGTATAAAAAATATATAAGTAGTGATAGATTATTAAATTACCACAGTAATCACCTAAAATCAAAAATTATAAACACGATGAACAATTATATATATGTATAGAGCAATAAAATTGACAGAAAAACCATTTTTGAAAGAAATAAAACAAAAAATATATGATATTCTGTTAAATAATTTTTATCCCAAACACTTAATTAATAACTCATGGTTTACAATACTAAATAACATAGA